AGTCTTGAACTCCTGACCTCAAGTGATCCTCCTGCCTCTGCCTCCCGGAGTGCTAGAATTACAGGCATGAGCCACCATGCCTGGCAGTTTTATATATTTTTATAGTTGGGTGTCTCCTGAAAACATTTTTTACACCAAATGTATTCTAACATTTCTATTTTGCAAATGTTTTTACATTCATTATTTTATCACATATATTTACCCTCACAACAACCTAATTCCTACTGAGGGATATAGAAAATATTAGACCACTCAGTAAAGAACAGAAACATTACAAGAATTTGAATATTTTGATTCCCAGCTTAGAACTCATTCGATGTTCATCTGTACATGCATTAGCTTTTTATTGCTGCATAACAAATTACCATAAATTTTGTGGCTTAAAACAACTCACATTTGTTGTATCATAGTGTCCATGAGTCAGGAGCCTGGGCGTGGCTTATCTGGGTACTCTGCTCATAATCTAGGTGTCAGCTGGGCCGCATTCTCACCTGGAGTTTGAGTTCCTCTTCCAAGCTCCTTCAGGTTGTTGACAGAATTCGATTCCTTGCAGCTGTAGGGCTGAGGCCTCAACTCCTAGATGCCACCCTTCTCTAAATGGGAGTGGCTAGACAGTTTACAAGCAATGGCATTTGCTTCTTCAAGGCCATCGGGACAATGTTTCTCTTCAGGAAGGGTCCAAACCCCATTTTAAGAGTTCTTACCTGATTAAGTCAGGCCCATCCTGGCTAATTTCCCTTTTGATTAACCCCAAACCAGCTGATTGGAGACCTTAATTACATTTGTAATATTCCTTCTCCTTTGCCATATGATGTGATACAGTCACAGGACTGATGTGTCCGCAGCAACTAGGTTTCAATCTGCGTCACAGCACCAAAAAAAACAAACAAACAAAGAAAAAAACAATCACAAGACTGATATTCCAATACTTTTGCCATATTCTATTGGCTACAAGCAGATCACGGTTTCATCCACACCCAGGAGGAGATTACAAAAGGGTGTGACTCATTGAGGGTCACCTGTGGGTGTGTCTGACACAGAAGGTAAACAAAATGTTGAACAACTAGAAAAAAACAAACCTGAAACATTCACTGTTTGTGATGTTGTCAATGTTGCAGATTAGTGACCTGAAGGAAAACATGGTGTATCAGTTCCAAGTAGCAGCCATGAACATCGCTGGGCTGGGTGTGCCCTCAGCAGTAAGCGAGTGCTTCAAATGTGAAGAGTGGACCATTGCTGTCCCAGGTAAATGGGGACATCATGTCCCATCATTGCAGCTTGGAGTTTCTTCCAAAAGCACCTCCAACTTGGAACTAAACTGAAGTATTATACAGTTAACATTTAAGGGAAAAGAATTCTTTTGGCCCCTCATGTTTACCTAAAATATTTTTATGATAATATTAAATAATAGGTAGCAATGTAAAACCAAGTGTAAATTCCTTATGCTTGTGTTCCAAATAAATCCTAGAGCCCCTATGGCATAACATTTGCACAGAGCAGGATTGGCGAAAGCGTGCAATTTGAGTGCAAATGAGCATTTAAAAGGAATTTTGATCTTTGCTTTTGCTTCTTAAAGGGCATCCAATTCATATCCCACAGCAAAATTTCTCAAAAACTTCCTGCACTCCCTAGTTCTCATGTATTCTCCCTCTACTTGGAAGCCTCTCATTTATCAACCCCCCCAAATCTCTCTCAACACCCAGCCTCCTTGGCCTCTCTCTCTTCTCCATCCTCTCTCCCAGCTCTTTACCATACTACGTATATAGATTTCACATGCCTGCCTGGGAGGTAAGGCCGGCTTCCCTCACTCGCCTCTCTCCACTTCTCCAGTCCTTTTTCTCTCCCTACACATTTCCCAAACTCTGAATCACAAGAAAGATCACAGAACCAGACAAATAATCTCCTTCAGAGTTTGTCATGGGGGCAGTTGGGTAGGCAGAGAAGAAAATGGCAAGTATGTAGAAAAACCAACCTATGCTTAGAACTCTTACAGAGCTATAAAGCTGAACATACTTAAAAATTGAATGCAAACAAATTTACTAAGCCATTAAGATTTAAACTAACAATATTAATGTATTTGGTGGATTTTTTTATTTTGCTTCCAGTGGTACTGACTTCAGAGACCAAAATAACTTTGAGTGCCACAGGATGACTAAATTCTCCCATCTGGGTTTGATGTTCAATATATTTAACAACTGGTATCACACCACCATCGACCACGTTAGAGCCCCAGGCCACACTGGGGCCCCCTGGGTGGACAGCAGCCCTACTCCAGTACCCACCTTCTTCTGTCTGAAACTCCATGCCCTTAAGAGTGAGCATGCTGCCTTCACTAAGTGAGCTCCCATTGACACCACTTCCCTGTCCAGTGTGAATAAAAAAATTATAAATGAAACTCAAGAGAAGTTCAAGTGCTCACTCAACTTCAGCAAATATGAAGAAGCAGACACACTGCCTTTCCTTGCACCTCCTTGAAGCCAGTGGGTATTTCCTAAGTTCTTTCTGCCACTAGCACAAAAGTAGATCTGTTTTCAAATTCTTGCAATTCCTGAGTAAGGTGAAATGCGAGTGACCAGAGACTAAGAAATTCCCAGCAGGCCTGTAGAAAATGTTTCAATAGAAAGTGATGGAGTTGACCAAAAATGTTGCCGGGTGAGCACTCTAGACTTGTAGAAGAAAGGAAGCGGGGCAGTCCTCCACCCTCCCAACAATCTGGCTTCTCAGACCCATCCTTGGCTTACTGAGTGGTGTTGGGCAAGTCTTACATCAAGAAAGCTCTTAAAGGAGAGAGCAGTAAGAATGTTTTGCCATCCTTTCTTTCGACAGATGAAAAAACTGAGACTCAGGTTAAATAATACATGTAAGGTTACAGAAGTAGCAAGTGGCAGAATTAAGGTTGGAAACTAGGCCTTTTTTCCCCCTAGACTAGAGGTGGTAGGCAACAGCAGATGCAGTCCCTCCTCTGTAAAATAGGGATAGTGTTCCTGTTTGGATGCCTCACCAAGTTCTAAGGATGACACAAGATCATGGTCATAAAAGCCCTTTGCAAAACAGAACATGCCACACTAGTATGAGGTATTTGGTGTTAATATTTAAATATGTCTTCATCCCAGACATCAGAAGACAAGGATGACGCATATTTGTAACTGATAATCCAAGGTAAAGGGCCAAACAAGTATTGAACTATCGATTGCAAAACACCAAAGCATGGCATGATAGAGTCTGTGCTTGTGCAAGTTGGCTTTTAGGCCACTGTTGAGTCCCCCCGGGCGATTTTTGACTGGTTGTTTAGAAGTCAGTTGTTATTTTTTAAAAAAAGAGAAAGGGAAAAAGAAAGTAAATAAATATATTACCTGCATAGCAGCTGGTGGTCATGCCAAGATATGGGCTATCGCTTAGTAGTGTGGACTCTCCAAATAATGGGAAGATATTCACATGGGGCACATTCTGGCTTTCTCCCTTCAGAGGGTTACCAAATTACTTGGCTTCTCTGAGCTTTCTGTTAATTGTCTTAAGGATGAATGAGATAAATGAATGTAAAAATACTTGGAAGTATTTAGCACTGATTCAGGATCCGTGGGTTGATTATATCTATTTTGGTAAAAGTTTTTTGTAAACCATTAGCTGTCAATTGTTTTTACCCATTTGTGGGATATGTACTTTAGGGGAAAGATTTCCCCCCAATTAGGAGGTATTTCTTTTTCCTTTGAAAGAACTATTATTAAATACTCTCTATAGTCATACACCATCAAGTAGAGTTGCTTTCTTCACACTGTTTGAGACTGAGGGAACTTTTTAGATTATCACTCAAAAATAATCTGAACTGAATCTGCAACTAACTCAAACTATTCAGATAAAAGATCCTTAACAACTAACACAAGCCTGAGGACAGCCTGAGGCAAACTTTGAGCCAGCCTCAGAGAGGCACCTAGAGGTGGCCTTACCCACCTATGCCCATGAAGGGACTTAGGTTGATGTAGAGCAGTGTGGAAACTTGATATGAAAAGACCACAGAATACCTATTTACATGGGAATGCTAGATTTAAAAAAAAAAAAGGACACCAGTATCAGAGTCAGCCTTCAAACTTTAAATGTGGTTCTAAATTATACATACTTGAGTTTTCTAATCTACATTAGGATTTCTATTTTTTCATAATTCACTGGCTTCTCCCTGTTTCAGGACCACCACAAAGTCTCAAGTATAGTGAAGTCAGGAAAGACTCCCTGGTCCTACATTGGAAACCTCCAGTCCACTCTGGAAGGACTCCAGTCACTGGTTACTTTGTGGACATGAAAGAGGCCAGTGCCAAAGATGACCAATGGCGAGGACTCAACAAGGCAGCTATTAAAAACATGTACCTGAAGGTAAGAGGGTGCTCGTGGTTTTGCAACACCCTTTTTTCCTGTAAAAGGGAAAAATACTCTATCAATCATTAACTTTAAAGTTAGCAAGATAAAACATAATATCTCTGTTTTGGTCTGTTTCATATTTGGGCTTCCAATAAGATTCCGTTTGATGGTGGTTGGGATTGGAGAAAGTCTCTGAGTTTCTGAGGCTTGAAACAGTTTGCTTATATTTAACCTGAATTCCTTAGCCTGGCTTTGAAAAACACCCTGCAGCTCTTCCCTCCTTGCTGCAACTTACCCACCTCACATTTTTGTTACTCACAGTCTTAAAACATTACTGCTTACCACCCTCAAAAGTGACTTTTTTATTCATATCTCCGACTATTTTTGAGGGTGCTCTTTTTGCGGAGTTCACACCAGTAAGCCTGTAATCGCTGATTCTGTCGAGTCACGCCCTGCGTCACTTCACCTGCTCCGGCGTATGCTCGCGTTAGTGGAATGGGTTCACTCAACTCTTGGCCTTTGTCCTCATCCTTATGTGTGTCATTGGCTTCCAGATTCCTCTAGAGAGTGCTAACTGACCCGGTTCCCAACTCTGTCTACCAAAGACTGTTCTGTTATAGCCACTGAATCTCTCACTTGTACCAAATGGAAATTTCAAAAGAATGTTTTCCCCTATTGTTAGCAGTGGTACCTGGAGACCCCGAATCCACACTAGGGCCTCAGAAACCATGGAGAATATGATTCCATTACTTATTACTTAGAATAAAGTGTGATTTCACCACAGTCATTCAGAAAGTTGCAGACTGCATTCCCACAGCCCTCTGTGATGGCAGAATAGGGTGGGCCTTGGAAGATATTCAAAATATACCTGGTCTAAAAGATCGCTCCCATCGACCTGCTGTCATGGACTAAGTATATGCCATCTGTCAGCCACTCTCTGAGGTTAAGGCATTTATAGTCGCTATAAACAATTTAAATATATCCTCCAGGAGAGATGATCCATAAATCATTACACACCACATGCCATTAACTCAACTTAACATATGCCAATCAGACCTCCAGACCCTTACAAAATTCTGAGGAAATAAGAAAGGTCATCTTTTCTATGAAGTGGAGAAAAAGTCAGGGAAGGATTGGAGCCTAGGATGCCATTTGGTTGTCCAGATGAGTTCAGAGGCCTCTAGATTCAAAGAAACCCCCAAAGAACAGTGTAAAATAAAGGTCAGAAACATCCTGGATGGTGGTGTTGGGTGTATGCGGGATGAAGATTTCCAAGTCCTCAATCTGCCACCACACAGGGTGCCAAGGGCCTGAGGTTGGACCTGACTTAGGTGACACAAACAAGGGTGAGAAGCCAAGCAAAGGAGACCAATAACCCAGAAGAAAATAACAGAGTTTAAACACATTGAAGAGTGGCTAATGTCACTCATTTAGGAAAAGAAAAAGAAGAAAGGAAAATTTAGGGAGGAGAGAGAGACACTGAGGTTGTATGTACCTAACAAACCTGGAAATGAACTTCCATAAGGAAATGGTCTTCTTGTATATCAACAGCTTTTAAAGTAAAAATAGAATTTTTGATTTTTCTGATTATAAAACTAACATATGCTTTGATGAAAAGTTCAAACAATAAAAGCATAAAGAAGAAAGTAAAAATGTCCTCCAATTCCCATACCCATTTTGGCATGTATTCATTCTTCCAGATGTTTTTTATCCAAAAAATGTTCAAGCGTATAACAGGAAAAAAATTTACATATTAGGAAGTATAGTATGATAAACTTCAGTGAGGACAGGAGATAGAGCTCCACAAATGGGGAACTTTAACACAGCTGCAGCTGGAACATAATGGGCTAACTGGTTTCTGCTGGGAGCACCCACATTCATTCCAGTGTAGGCGTTCCTAAAAAGAGTAAAAGATGCATTACTTTCAACCAAAAGGATTTAACCAAACATAGTTCACACTTCATAATGTTCCTTTTTTATTGGTAATTACAACCCAATGAGACAAGGTGATGAGAAGGAAATAATTGGAAGGGGTAGGGGACCTGGGTGGAGGAGGCAAAGAAATGCAGTTCCTTCAGAAATTATAGGGAAGGAAAAAAATCCAAGAAAAGGAAAACAGATGTGCATCAGTTATCTAGATTACATATTTGTGATGCTGTTGAGGCCCGTGGTCATTGCCCCCATGGTGATGGAAGAGTGGAGTGGTGCTCCTGTCATCCTGGTGACTAGACTCTAGAATAAGAATATGCTTCCTGCATGTGTTACAGTCTGACTCACAGCCACATGTTACCTAAGTGGCAGGTGCAGATGTGTCAGGCACCTGGCTATTGGTCTATTTTTATCACAATAAGGAAATTTTCTGTTTCTTTATGGAAAGCCACAGTTTTCTGGCATTATTTCTAAACATAGAATTTAAATATATGAAACTCTATGCATTTAGCCTGCGCCTAAATTCAAGTTCATTTACAGATTAAAATCCATTAGCTCCAGGGAAAGCTATCACTACAAAAATAGTGACATTCTATTGTTATAAACACAATACAATTAAATAATTAGATTTAAAACATAACAATTTAATGCATAGCTCATTTAAATACATGATCACAAACACTTCACTTAATTAAATAAATTTATTCTAGCATTGTTTGATTTAAATCACATTTTTGATATTCATTTCCATCACAACGTTTTATACATAAAAAATTATGCCCTCTGTATGTAACAGATTCCTTCTTTTTTTTTTTTTTTTTTGAGACAGAGTCTTGCTCTGTCACTCCGGCTAGAGTGCAGTGGCATCACTGTGGCTCACTGCAACCTCAAACTCCTGCGCTCAAGCATTCTTCCTGCCTCAGCCTCCCAAGTAGCTGGGACTACAGGTGTGCACCATGATGCCTGGCTAATTTTTCTATTTTTTGTAGAGACGGGGTCTTGCTCTTGCTCACGCTGGCCTCGAACTCCTGAGCTCAAGCAATCCTCCTGCCTCAGCCTCTCAGAGTGCTAAGATTACAGGCGTGAGCCACCGCGCCCAGCCAAGTATTATTATTAATTTTTTTAAGAGACAGGGTCTCGTTCTGTCACCCAGGCTGGAGTACAGAGGTGAGATTATAGCTCACCGCAGCCTCAAACTCCTGGACTCAAGCAATCCTGCTGCCTCGGCCTCCTGAGTAACTGGGACTACAGGTACATGCCATCACATCTGGCTAATTTTTTTTTTTTTTGTAGAAATGATGTCTTGCTATGTTGTCCAGGCTTGTTTTAAACTCCTGGCCTCAAGCAGTCCTCCCACCTCAGCCTCCCAAAGTGCTAGGATTACAGGTGTGAGCCATTGCACCTGGCCTGTTATTACTATTATTTTTTTAGAGACAGTGTCTCAATGTTTCCCAGGCTGGCTCAAGCAGTCCTCCCACCTCAGCTTTCCAAGTGGCTGAGATTTTTATTTTTAATTTCAGATTATAGATGGTGAAATTGAGGCAGGGCTAGGTAAGTTAACTTGCCCAGTATTATATATCCTAGTTAATGCAGATCCTGGGGTTCAGGTCCTAGTTATGGCTGACTCTAAAGGGCTCTGTCTCCCTATTCTCAGAGTGTACAAATGGGTTACTATTTTAATGTATCATTGTAGTATACTGAAACTAGCTAATGACAATTTTAAAGACTTTTTTAAAGGGAAAAAGCTAACTTGCAAAGTTCAAAAGGACTTATTTTTACATACAAATAATGTTCCTATGAGTAGTGAAGATATTTTTTAAGGTTTCATCAGTGAATACTTTTTACTTTTGAATTAGCTTTCCTATTTATTAAAACACTATATAGTCATGCACAGCATAAACGACATTTTGGTCGTTGACAGACTACATATACAGTGGTGGTCCCGTAAGATTGTAATGGAGTCAAAAAATTCCTGTCGCCTGGTAACGTAGTAGCCGTCGTAATGTGGCAGTGCAGCGCATCACTCGTGTGTTTGCGGTGATGCCAGCGAGTGCGTGGTGCACTGCCTGTCACTGCAGTTGTGTGTGGTGTATAATAACTTGGTAATAAATAACTGTGTGACTGGTTTATGTATTTGCTATACTTTATTTGATTCATCATTATTTTAGAGTTATATATCTCCTATTTATAAAAAAAGTTAACTGTAAGACAGCCTCAGGCAGGTTCTTCAGGAAGTATTCCAGAAGAAGCCATAGGAGATGCTAGTGCCGTGCGTGTGATTGCCCCTGAAGATCTTCCAGTGAGACAAG